CTGCTGAGAAATGGTAAGATGATAATTGCAAAATCAAATTAATTGTCGCAATGGTGATACATTCCAATGGAAGCGCACGCCAAACAGTGACAGGATAGTCAACCTAATGACGTTGGTCACTTAGTGGTAGAAGAAGAAGTAGAAGAAGGGAGTCTTTCCCGCGTAAATGTCATGTGTAAAACGGGATATACCATTTTCAGGGCTATACTGTCTTTAATATTTAGGTCTTTTTGAAACAGCAAAATACCAAGAAAGCGTTAACTAAATATAATGTTTCTGTATAAAGGAAGTTCATCAGGAAATTTAGTTGTTTTCGCAAAAAAAAAAAAGAAAAAAAAACACGAAGTAACATACATTAACTCGACTCTGATTGTAAACGCCCCTAAAAATATATTGGTATATGGAATCGTCCATATCGATTTTTATAAAGATGAAAGACGTAGAATTCGCAAAATGTACACTGATTCTGTTGATTTTATCAGTTGAATGGACTGGAATGAGATTAAATGTATATGCATAAAGGTCTATTCAACAGTAGTGTAAATCAGGTGTATTTGTTGGTTGAAATATGATGGGATATGCTGTACATCTACTTCAATTCTGACTAGACTAGGGACTTAATGTGTACAAACCTGACGTCAAATTATGTACTATAGAAGAAAAAACAAATAATATCACATTAAATCCTATCACATTACATCCAAAAACAATTTACATCTCATTACAATAATCCAAATTCAATCATATGACGATGTCAGTGGAAGAAGTTCCCGCGCAAATGTCATGTGTTAAACGGGATAGACTAAACAGAGTTTTAGGTCTGTGTTGTCATTCACATTCCGATCAATTTACACAGTTAAATAAAATATATATGTTAACCGCCTCCGGGTGCGGGATTTACTCGCTGTTTTGAAGACCCATTGGTGGCCGTCGGCTGTTTTCTGCTGTTTGGTCGGGTTGTTGTCTCTTTGACACATTTCCTATTTCCATTCTCAATTTTAACTACATTTATTTTGGTTTTGAATTTAGTTAACTTATCAGAAAAATGATTTAGTTCTCGCAGAGAACGCTAAATAGTATACATTAACTCGACACTGAATCTAAAAAACCCTAAAACATAATGGTACATGGAATCGTCCAAACAGATTTCCTAATATTGATAAAGGTGAAATACTAGAATCAGAATTGTTTACACAGAAATAAGATCAGAAATAAAGCCCTATGTAAAGTGTAAACCAAAAAAAAAAACCTGTATAAAATCATTGTTTATTACATTTGCTTGCATAAGAACCTTGAAGTTGAAACTAATAACGATTACGTGTATCCTGTCAACCCCTGAAAAAAATAATATTGTCTTCTTGACTACTTCCCCGCGCCACGGACTGATTTGTTAATATATTGTTATAGAATATGTTAAAAATAGGGAAATATTATCCTCCTTGAGGTATCGTTAGACAAATTTTAAATTTCTTTTTATGAAATATTTGAATATAGAATTGTGTTAGTAATAGTGTAATTATTTGTATATCTGACTATGAGTGATTTTGAAATCCAAAAGTTTATACAAACTTTGAAGACCTGATAAGTCAAAAAGAAAGACCAAAAAGTGAAGTCAAACCTGAACATAGATATTAAGATATATACATGAGGGAAATATAATCCTTAATACAAAATGATTGCAAATTTTTAAATCAAAAAGTAGTCGGAGCCTCTTGCAATATAAGTTTGAAAACTGGAAAGAGTTGCTCAAATGTACACAGAACGACTGCGATATGTTTCGAAAATGAAACACACCAGTGTTACATCAGAATTAAAATTCCCATACCTTTTCTTTACAAAATATTAAAATGGATGAAAGAAAAAAAATCACTACCATAAACATGTTTATGGCTCAAACATATAGAGATATATAATAGAGGCAATAGACAACACTATGCAATGTCAACATATACTGCTCAAAATTATTCGAGGGGAATTCTTTTAAAGTGACAATGTTGATATCTAACACATTGAGCTACTAAAATACTTATACACTCTGCTGAACATTCAGGATGAAGGTATTCAAGTAAAGTGTTTACAACGTTCCTATAAAGGTATTGATGACAGGACAATTCATTTTCATATTGTTCAGTTTTTCTAAGTACAATATATTTGATATTATTATGTCCGTATGTTTCATTTTAATCAAGTTTAGTCATTCTCAAAACGAACCTAATTATGGGGGGGGGGGGGGGGGAGTGTATCTATGTAGACTTAATGCCTATGTCCATGCACTTGCTGGAAGTTAAAAGAAAATTTATTTGTTTTTTGTAATTATAGACATTTGAATTGTCCGAAATAAGTGAAAGATACATAGGTACTGGTTTTTTTTACAAATAAAATTAAACCGAAAACTTATAAGCATAATTGGTGTTATGACAATACACGACCCTTAGAAATGGTTTTTATAAGGAAGTCTTTATATAATGTCTACTCGAGATATCTTATTACTTTAAATGTAATAGATCGATAATACACGGGTTTTGTTTATTTAAAGTTTAGGCTTTTATATTACGTGTGCACATAAGATTGAGCACACATAAACTTTCCGTCTGTAATGTTAACTTCATGGAAATCCTTCGACAGACTAAATGTGTAGAATGACTGTTTAGGTGGGATGAATAAATAGATTTGGTTAATGATACTTCATACAGGATAAGCAGGTGAGTGCTGTAAGGTGATACTTCCTTAGATAGATTAGTATTTATATTGACCTTTCACTACATAGCCTTATGACGTGTAAAACTCAAATCTGACTAAAACAGCATTTGTATTTCAACAGTAAGAGAGTAAATATGTGTTTGAAACACAAAATGTGTAACATATTTTTTTCAGACGTTTAAGATACCTGGAACATATAAATAAGTGAACTATGGCCACCATGTTTGATTTGAAATGACTGTGCTATTCTTATAAACAAAATGATGACATATTGCATGATCGATCTTTAATTTAAAATGTGTTTTTTTTTTTCGATTCAATGGTTCAACAATTCTAAAAGAAAGTTATTATGTGAAACAAAATACCGAACTTCAATGCAAATTCAAAAAGGGGGAGTCCATAACAGCTGACAATTCAAACTCTATCAACCAACGAAAAAAGGGAAAAAGAAGTGCAATATTCCTGACTAAGTACAGACATTTTCCGATGAAAATGGTAAGTTAAACATAGTTTCATAGCAAGCTAAACCACTCACATGTATGACAGGTGTAACTATTATTCAGTCATAAAAAAGAGTTGAAAAGAAGTCATGTAAGTATCTAACAATACAGGTAAATATGAAACACACTATTGTTATGATTTAAATTAGTGTCATTGAACGCCATGTGTACATTTTGAAAATTTAAATCGCACCCTATTTTCGTGGAAATCTGAAAATCTTTACCAATAAAGATTACCGGTATATATAACTTTGAACCGAAAAATTAAGAATCCCAGATATTGCCTTACATCATTCATTAAAGAGGTGTTTTTAGAAAATCACTTATCCGTCTATCCATTGGTATTAACAACTGGATATATAACCTTCACAAAATTTCTTATAAAAAACGATATGTAGCCGGGTGGTCAAAATGTTTGACTAAACGTCTTTCTTACTTTCTTTCCACAATTTTTTCTAAGATTGCGTACATACATACTAGGATGCTACTCTTCTAACAGACTTGGGTTTGTTTGTACGAAACGTAATTCATGCAGATTATTCGCAAAGACAAAGAAAAATATATATCTTGCAAGGTTCTTTGATTTTATTTTCAGATACATTGAACATGTCCTGTCATTCATTAACACACATTTCAGTGAGTGCTGGCATCTCATAAATACCAGTGAACCTTAAATAAGGGAAACTACCGAAACTACCTGCATATCTTGATCTTGTCCTCGATATTGACACAGATGGACGACTTCAAAACAAACCCAATGAGACGCATGATAATTCAAATTTTCAAACTATCAGCTTACCATTTCTCAGCAGTTACATCCCTGTACCCCGTCGTATGGCGTTTACAGATCTCAATTTATACATTACGCTCGATAATTTTCACACTCTACGGACCCCATTGACTTTATTAACAAGCATGTGCTCCTAAACTGTTCAAAAACATTAGCGGTACCAAGTTTACTACATCAGATGCGCATTTCGACAATTAATGTCTCTTCAGTGATGCTCGAGGCTAAAATATTTAAAAATTCATATTATAATACACACGTTGAAGAGCTGAACTAATAAAAAAAGACATCAAGTATAGCCAAATTTGGACAACAAGGTATCAGAGCTTTGATTGAGGGAGATAAATTCCATAATTTAAAATTATTTCCAAAAGTTTTATCGGAAAATTTAAGTCAAATAATATCCGTATCCCTAGCCAGTATTGAAGTACTGGATACTTGCCTAGTGATACCCCGGTGACTAACAGTAAACCAGCAGAGGTATCGACCAAGTGGTAGTACCTATTTAACTACACCAGATGCGCATTTTGACAAGTACTGTCTTCCCAGTAATTTTCTAATCCAAAAAAAATCACTACCATAAACATGTTTATGACTCAAACATATAGAGATATATAATAGAGGCAATAGACAACACTATGCAATGTCAACATATACTGCTCAAAATTATTCGAGGGGAATTCTTTTAAAGTGACAATGTTGATATCTAACACATTGAGCTACTAAAATACTTATACACTCTGCTGAACATTCAGGATGAAGGTATTCAAGTAAAGTGTTTACAACGTTCCTATAAAGGTATTGATGACAGGACAATTCATTTTCATATTGTTCAGTTTTTCTAAGTACAATATATTTGATATTATTATGTCCGTATGTTTCATTTTAATCAAGTTTAGTCATTCTCAAAACGAACCTAATTATGGGGGGGGGGGGGGGGGGTGTGTATCTATGTAGACTTAATGCCTATGTCCATGCACTTGCTGGAAGTTAAAAGAAAATTTATTTGTTTTTTGTAATTATAGACATTTGAATTGTCCGAAATAAGTGAAAGATACATAGGTACTGGTTTTTTTTACAAATAAAATTAAACCGAAAACTTATAAGCATAATTGGTGTTATGACAATACACGACCCTTAGAAATGGTTTTTATAAGGAAGTCTTTATATAATGTCTACTCGAGATATCTTATTACTTTAAATGTAACAGATCGATAATACACGGGTTTTGTTTATTTAAAGTTTAGGCTTTTATATTACGTGTGCACATAAGATTGAGCACACATAAACTTTCCGTCTGTAATGTTAACTTCATGGAAATCCTTCGACAGACTAAATGTGTAGAATGATTGTTTAGGTGGGATGAATAAATAGATTTGGTTAATGATACTTCATACAGGATAAGCAGGTGAGTGCTGTAAGGTGATACTTCCTTAGATAGATTAGTATTTATATTGACCTTTCACTACATAGCCTTATGACGTGTAAAACTCAAATCTGACTAAAACAGCATTTGTATTTCAACAGTAAGAGAGTAAATATGTGTTTGAAACACAAAATGTGTAACATATTTTTGTCAGACGTTTAAGATACCTGGAACATATAAATAAGTGAACTATGGCCACCATGTTTGATTTGAAATGACTGTGCTATTCTTATAAACAAAATGATGACATATTGCATGATCGATCTTCAATTCAAAATGTGTTTTTTTTTCTCGATTCAATGGTTCAACAATTCTAAAAGAAAGTTATTATGTGACACAAAATACCGAACTTCAATGCAAATTCAAAAAGGGGGAGTCCATAACAGCTGACAATTCAAACTCTATCAACCAACGAAACAAGGGAAAAAGAAGTGCAATATTCCTGACTTAGTACAGACATTTTCCGATGAAAATGGTAAGTTAAACATAGTTTCATAGCAAGCTAAACCACTCACATGTATGACAGGTGTAACTATTATTCAGTCATAAAAAAGAGTTGAAAAGAAGTCATGTAAGTATCTAACAATACAGGTAAATATGAAACACACTATTGTTATGATTTAAATTAGTGTCATTGAACGCCATGTGTACATTTTGAAAATTTAAATCGCACCCTATTTTCGTGGAAATCTGAAAATCTTTACCAATAAAGATTACCGGTATATATAACTTTGAACCGAAAAATTAAGAATCCCAGATATTGCCTTACATCATTCATTAAAGAGGTGATTTTAGAAAATCACTTATCCGTCTATCCATTGGTATTAACAACTGGATACATAACCTTCACAAAATTTCTTATAAAAAAACGATATGTAGCCGGGTGGTCAAAATGTTTGACTAAACGTCTTTCTTACTTTCTTTCCACAATTTTTTCTAAGATTGCGTACATACATACTAGGATGCTACTCTTCTAACCAACTTGGGTTTGTTTGTATGAAACGTAATTCATGCAGATTATTCGCAAAGACAAAGAAAAATATATATCTTGCAAGGTTCTTTGATTTTATTTTCAGATACATTGAACATGTCCTGTCATTCATTAACACACATTTCAGTGAGTGCTGGCATCTCATAAATACCAGTGAACCTTAAATAAGGGAAACTACCGAAACTACCTGCATATCTTGATCTTGTCCTCGATATTGACACAGATGGACGACTTCAAAACAAACCCAATGAGACGCATGATAATTCAAATTTTCAAACTATCAGCTTACCATTTCTCAGCAGTTACATCCCTGTACCCCGTCGTATGGCGTTTACAGATCTCAATTTATACATTACGCTCGATAATTTTCACACTCTACGGACCCCATTGACTTTATTAACAAGCATGTGCTCCTAAACTGTTCAAAAACATTAGCGGTACCAAGTTTACTACACCAGATGCGCATTTCGACAATTAATATCTCTTCAGTGATGCTCGAGGCTAAAATATTTAAACATTCATACTATAATACACACGTTGAAGAGCTGAACTAATAAAAAAAGACATCAAGTATAGCCAAATTTGGACAACAAGGTATCAGAGCTTTGACTGAGGGAGATAAATTCCATAATTTAAAATTATTTCCAAAAGTTTTTATCGGAAAATTTAAGTCAAATAATATCCGTATTCCAATGCCAGTATTGAAGTACTGGATACTTGCCTAGTGATACCCCGGTGACTAACAGTAAACCAGCAGAGGTATCGACCAAGTGGTAGTACCTATTTAACTACACCTGATGCGCAATTTGACAAGTATTGTCTTCCCAGTAATTTTCTAATCCAAAATATTTAAAAATCCAAATTATATGAAAAATGTTGAAGAGCTGATCAAACCAATGAGGAACTAAAGTATAGCCAAATCTTGACACGATATCACAGCTTAGCATCCATCACAGTTATTTGAAAGAACGACTGAAATGGATCAACATACGTTTTACGGTCGCCAGCACGAATTGGTTGAACGATAAGATGTGTCTTTGTCGCAAGCGCGGTCTTTAGATGCTAAATTGGCAAAATAGCCACTGGTCTGAAATTTCATTTTACCGATTCTGTCCAATTCCCGATATATAGATACTAGTAGTGATATTCTTTATAGATACTAGTAGTGATATATATAGATACTAGTAGTGACATATATAGATACTAGCAGTGATATATATAGATACTAGTAGTGATATATATAGATACTAGTAGTGATATATATAGATACTAGCGGTGATATATATAGATACTAGTAGTGATATATATAGATACTAGTAGTGATATATATATAGATACTAGTAGTGATATTCTAACTGAGTATGGATTCAAATGTCGGGTGATGCATGTCCTATCCCAGATATATATAGATACTAGTAGTGATATATATATAGATACTAGTAGTGATATATATAGATACTAGTAGTGATATATATAGATACTAATAGTGATATATATAGATACTAGTAGTGTAGTGATATATATAGATACTAGTAGTGATATATATAGATACTAGTAGTGATATATATAGATAATAGTACTGTAGTGATATATATAGATACTAGTAGTGATATATATAGATACTAGTAGTGATATATATAGATACTAATAGTGATATTCTAACTGAGTATGTATTTAGATACTAGTAGTGATATATATAGATACTAGTTGTGATATATATAGATACTAGTAGTGATATATATATATACTAGTAGTGATATATATATATATATACTAGTAGTGATATATATAGATACTAGTAGTGTAGTGATATATATAGATACTAGTAGTGTAGTGATATATATAGATACTAGTAGTGATATTCTAACTGAGTATGTATATAGATACTAGTAGTGATATATATAGATACTAGTAGAGATATATATATATATACTAGTAGTGATATATATATAGATACTAGTAGTGATATATATAGATACTAGTAGTGTAGTGATATATATAGATACTAGTTGGGTAGTGATATATATAGATACTAGTAGTGATATATATATAGATACTAGTAGTGATATATATAGATACTAGTAGTGATATATATAGATACTAATAGTGATATATATAGATACTAGTAGTGATATATATAGATACTAGTAGTGATATTCTAACTGAGTATGTATATAGATACTAGTAGTGATATATATAGATACTAGTAGTGATATATATATATATACTAGTAGTGATATATATATAGATACTAGTAGTGATATATATAGATACTAGTAGTGTAGTGATATATATAGATACTAGTTGGGTAGTGATATATATAGATACTAGTAGTGATATATATATAGATACTAGTAGTGATATATATAGATACTAGTAGTGATATATATAGATACTAATAGTGATATATATAGATACTAGTAGTGATATATATAGATACTAGTAGTGATATTCTAACTGAGTATGTATATAGATACTAGTAGTGATATATATAGATACTAGTAGTGATTTCTATAGATACTAGTAGTGATATATATAGATACTAGTAGTGATATATATAGATACTAGAAGTGATATATATAGATACTAGTAGTGATATTCTAACTGTTTATGGATTCGAATGTCCGGTGATGCATGCATAGCAGTAGATGCTTACCTTATCGGTGCACGCAGTCGCACTCGTTTTGGAGTTCATGCGATTTCTTCAGTTTTTGTATGGAATCTGGATTTGCTTGAGTTGTATATTCGTGATCGGTTTGTAAGATTTGAACATAGGTGTACTACTGTTGCTTAAATATATCCGTATACTAATATAGAATATGCTAATTGAAGAAAATGTACAATTAGAACAATAACTATTCATATTTTAAACACAAAAATGTGTAGATGGAGTGAAATTATGCCAAAGATTATAACTTAACCAATGCACTCACATCATAAATATACAATACTAGATCAATGTTAGAAAAATATAAACTTTTTGTATAAGGCTTACAGAAAAAGTTGCTTTTTTCTGGTGTTGACCTAATTTGTTAAAATCTACAGCTAAAAAGCTACAATATTATAGTTATGAAAATATTAGCACAAAAATAAATCATTGCACAAAATATGTGTTACTATATTTGATAACTAAAGACAGCAGGCAGTTGTCTAGCTGCATTGTTTTCTAGCTGCATTATAAACATTGTTACAAAACACCTTAAGCATGACAAGGTTACTGTATAGCCGAGATTTAATCTAGATTTTAGCCCAGTTTTTAATTTAAAAAAAATCAAAATTCAATAAAACAATAACTGTATCCAATGAACTGACTACTTAGCTGGTATTACCATCGGGGACATAAATTCACCAGCAGAGGTATTAACCCAGTGGTAGTAAGAATATAAACGATACAAATTTTACAATACCAACTGCGAAGGTAAATGAATATCTCTTCAGTAATGCTCTTGACCGAAATATTTTATGAATTTCCACATTTAAATACAAACATTGAAGAGGTGATTTAACAAAACAGGACCTGGAGAAATGCAAACATATGACTTTAGATATAAAGGTTTAACGATGTTGTCTGTTATTTTTACCATGTGTAGATATATTAATTATAACTCAACCTTGTGATATCATAATAAGACGTGTGTAATGGGAAGAATTTAAAAAAAAATCTATATTATACACCAATATGTAAATATTATCCCCATTGAGGTATTGATAGACAACTTTTAAATGCCGTTTTATGAAATGAATGTTCCTAATACAATAATTAAAATGAATAAATCCCAAAAGAACAATAAAATTATTGTCTTTAAACTGAAAAAATCTCAGCTTGATATTTATCTTGTCATATTTATTGATTTTGTGTAACAACGACGGGACAATTGTTATCGGTTTTGTTTAATTATATGAAACTACTCATTGATTTGTACTTTACGCTATATATGTGAAATAAAACATTATAAAAACTTTAGTGAGTTAAATATTCTAATTACTGCAACACAACATTACAACGAACTACAAAAATCCTTTTAAACGGAGGCTTGCCTGAAAGGAGCTGCACAATGTTCAAAATTAAACTAACAAAAAGAAAAAAAAGACACAAAGATCTATGCGAACTCGAATCTATTTTACCGTTTGTCCGTCAAAGACTAATCTTCTTATTTGACGAACCCCAAAATATATTATTCTGACTTTTTTCACATTTATTTCTCTGATGAAGTATTAGCTTTTCATCTTCAAAAAATGCAGCTCTTAGGTAAATTCAGCATGTATTATGTTTTTGATGGCCTAGTATCAATTCCTTTCGAATGTTAAAGTCGTATTGACGTCTATGACACAAAAATCTTTCCTCGATGGTGCTTTGATAATTCTTTAATAGAGACAGCAGATACCAAAGGGATAGTCAAACGAAAACAAACTGACAATACCATGGCAAAAAACTAAAAACTAACAAACGAAGTACAACAGTCTACAAAACACATTATAGACTGAGCAATACGAACCCCATTAAAAACCGTTGGTGATCTTAGGTGCTTCATATAAATACAAACCCGGTGATAAGTCAACACATGGGACATTGTTGAACGGGGCAGAGATAAGGAAGAAAAGAAGGGACATTTCTATGACCTATGAGGCATTATAGAATAGGACACAGATCAGAGAAAAGGACACACATTTGAGGCTGGGCATATATTTGAGGCTTGCATATCAATAGACACAAATTGCGCCGTTTTGATAGCAAATTTGTTCCTGTAGTGTAATGAATCACAGTTTATAGCCATACTATAAATATCTTTATTCTCAAACAGCCAATGCATAACATCGGTACATATAAAACTTACACGATCAAGATACATCTAAATATCATTTCATGGATGAATCCAATGAACTCTTACCACTACCTTGATAATATTTTTGCTTTTAAATAATCATGAATTCTGTAATCATACTGCGGAAATTTACCCAAGAAAACATATTCTAAAGAGATGTAACATAAATAACAATTATTGTTATTTTCTTGATTTTGATATTTCACTTTCACACGAAAACATTTTGCTAAAATATACTACTGTGAAGAGTTGTCTCATTGGCAATCATACCACATCTTCTTATTTTTTATACAAAAATGTAAAGTAACAAAAATACAGAACTCCAAAGAAAATTCATAAATATCATCCATAAACGGCATTTTCTGACATTGATATATTAACGATATGAGTGCATTGGTTAAGTAATAATCCTCCATCTACACATTTTTGTGTTTAAAATAAGAATAGTTATTGTTCTAATTAGACCTTTTCTTCAATTAGCAAATCTATATTAGTATAAGAATATATTTAAGCAACAGTAGTATACCGATGTTCAAATCTCACGAATCGATCACGAATATACAACTCAAGCAAATCAAGATTCCATACAAAAACTGAAGAAATCGCATGAACTCCAAAACGAGTGCGACTGCGTGCGCCAAGAAGATAAGCATGCATCAACGACATTCGAATCCATACTCAGTTAGAATATCATCACTAGTATATACATACGGGAATAGGAACAAACGGGTAAAATGAAATTTCAGACCAGTGGCTATTTTTCCAATTTAGTATCTAAAGACCGCTCTGGCGACCCAGACACATCTTATCGGTCAACTAATTCGTGATGGTAACAGTAAAACGTAGGTAGTGTCCATTTCAATCGTCTTTTCACATAAATGTGTTGGATGCTAAGCTGTGATATATTGTCAGGATTTGGCTATTCTTTAGGTCCTCATTGGTATGATCAGCTCTTCATCATTTTTAATATAATTTGGATTGTTTAAATATTGTCCGCTAGAAAATTACTGAGGAGACATAACTTGTCACAATGCGCATCGTGTGTAGTTAAATATGTATCGTCAATGTGGTTCATGCTATTACTACCACTTGGTCGATACCTCTGCTGGTATACTGTAATTACCGAGGGTATCACGAGGCAAGTATCCAGTACTTCAATAATGACATACGGAATACGGATATTATTTGATTGAAATTTTCCAATAAAAACTTTTGGAAATAATTTCAAATTATGGAATTTATCTCCCTCGTGCAAAGCTCTAATACCTTGTTGTCCAAATGTGGCTATACCTAATGTCCTTTTTGATTAGGTCAGCTCTTCGATGTGTGTATTATAATTTGGATTTTTAAATATTTAAGTCTCGAGCATCACTAGAGATACATTAATTGTCGAAATGCGCATCTGGTTTTGTAAAATTGGTACCGCTAATGTTATTTGAACAGTTTAGGAGCACATGCATGTTAATAAAGTCAATGAGGTCCATATTACGTGAAAATGCACGAGCGTAATTTATAAATTTAGATATGTAAACGCCATACAACGGGGCACAGGGCATGTCACTGCTGAGAAATAGTAAGCTGATAATTGGAAAATTTGAATTATTATGCGTGTCATTGTGTTTTGAAGTCGTCCATCTGTGTCAATGTTGAGGACACGATCAAGATATGAAGGTAGTTTCGGTAGTTTCCGTTATCTAAGGTTCACTGGTATTTATGAGATGCAAGCAATCACTGAAATGTGAGTTATTGAATGACAGGACATGTTCAATGTATCTGAAAATAAAATCAAAGGACTTCGCAACGATTTTTTTTTATATCAAAACGGAAAGTTCATTATCAAATGGCAAATTTAAAAGATAAAACACATTAAAAGAATGGAAAACAACTGTCATATTCCTGACTTGGTGCTGGCATTTCCCTTTGTAGAAAAAGGTGGATAAGACCTGATTTTATAGCTAGCTAAACCTCTCACTTGTATGTCAGTCACATAGAATTCCATTATATTTACAACAATGTGTGAGCAAAACACGTCATTAAAGTAGGATAAGTTTGCAAGTTGACTGGAATTAACAAGACTATATTCATTATTAGTTTGCATGTGTTTAACACATAATTTGTTATCTTCAGATGATTTGTTGATTAGAATGGCAACAAATCAACCACAGAACTTGTTAGAATGGCAGCTGCATTGTGTTCTTAAAAGAGCCAACCTTCTTCAATATTATGACAGTTTCATCGGACAAGGTACAGTATATTGAATTAAATTCAGATTTTTTTTATAGGTTATAAAATAAGGAGATGTGGTATGATTGCCAATGAAACAACTATCCACCAAAGTTCAAATGAAGTGGATTACCCCAGGTTACAAAATTAAATCTAATAATAGTTTACAAATTCCATTCCCTTACGCTGATTCTGCAATTGGAGGCCACAGAAGTTGGTTATGTCCGATAACATGCCATAGACAGAATAACATTTTCTATAAAATTTTTGAAAAAAGAAATGATGGAGTAGTGTTTGAAAAATTAAGACTGATCAACACGAACCCCGCCCATCAGGTGCACAGGCAAAATAAGCAGATTTTTAAATTTTCCAATTTGAAAATCTTTACACTAGCAATTTTGTTGTGGATATTTTTACTTCTGGTGATATTTTCAGACATCGCATCAATGTAACGTCATTCAGTGTTATGCTATTCAATATAAGGTACATAATGATATAGATTTCTTGTCAACGAATTAATAATCCAGCTTCCTAATTGTGAACTTTCGATGTTTATGGAGCATCATTCCAGCAACAGCTGCATATTGAATATTTATCGGTGTTTTAACGATATCCAGGAGCTTGAAAGTCCAATAAATATGATATGCAATTTCAAAACCATTCAAGACATTAGCAATGTTAACAAATTTAAAACTAAGAGGATGTGTTATTGTCAGTAATGACACGTTATTCCAGGGTTGGTTAGAACATATGTGTTATTTTACCGGCATTATCAAACTTAGACACCAACCGTACAGTCAAGCGAGTTTTTCTTTTAGTGTGAAATGGAAAGCAATTATCAAGCATTTCATAGACTTTTTTCAATAGAACCTTAACACAAACATTGACGTATATATTATATAACAAATACAACACCGATACCTAAGTAGACTCATTATAGATACCAGGAATATAAAGCAAAATAAACATAGACTCGACTGAATACTAGTAATGGTAAAAATGTTCAGGACATTTAGCAGTATCACCGGTCATGTGCTCTTATGTTTTGTCTCATGTACCACACTTTAGAAGTAACTAATTTTCATATCCATTCACCAGGAAAATGCCTGAACCAAGTTGGGGATATGACAGTATTTTTCCAGGCGTTTCGTTAGTTGATATAGTTGCGCACTTGTTTGTGTCAACTTTTTGAACCGCCCAATCTTTTTTCAATATACTTGGAGAAACATTTTTATTTTATATATTTTTTTTCCCTCATGAAGTTACAAGTATTTACATATATTTATCCTGTGGCACAATAATCAAGCAAGTGAAATAAATTAGTATAATAATGTATAACAGTATGAAATTTACGGATTATGTATGATAATACCATTTTCACTAATATAATAACACAAGTAATGATAGTGCATGCACATAAATACACCTACATGTACCCATGTACATTCAAATATACATATTTACAGAAAATATACACACATATGCATATGAAGTTACGCCATCAATATCTAATCAGTAACTTTAACCCAGGGGTTCAGTACAAGTTGTATTCTAGTAATTTTTTAAGTCATTTGGTATGAAGTTTTACATCTTGCATCTTACATGTAGATCTCTAAATAAAGTACTTTGTCAGTAAAATGACTTTACTTTTTATAAAATTCAATTTAAAATGTTCAAAAAGGCCAAAACTGACAATATCCAAATTTAGTGAAATTTCGATCTGTACGAAATCAAATCCGAGAATTCAGACTGTGCCGACTGTCGGATACATGTGACAACTCCAAAGTAAAAGTTCTATAGATTCTGTCTCTTCCTTGTAAACTGTATATATAATACAGTTTACAAGTTTCTTTATAAAGAGTAGAGCGTTTTTATCTTCAATATAAAGGATAAATCTAGACCGATGACAGTATTTTTCGTAACTTGGTAACCAAAAGTGTATTTTTTCCCAATTTCCAACAACTCATTTAGAATACCATCCCATTTTGTTCTGCTGCAAAATCTATAGTTTTGAAATAGTAAATGAACTCTTTTCTGATTTGAGGAAACTATCAATATTAAAAAGCACAAATCTTGTTGCTTTTTTTCTCATTTTCAGTGTTGAGGTCAATAGGTTGCAACCATCTTTTAGTGCTAGTATAGGCGCCATAAAGCCAAGAGAAAATTGGTTTGAAACTATACATTCCTTCAAAATTTGCATAGGTTAATACATTTCCATGTTCATTGAACAGGTCATTTACATTCGATACCCCATGGGCTGCCCAATTATCATAGATAACACTGACATTATCAATTTCAATGTGCTCATTATTCAATAGAGATGCCTAAATGACTTCCTCAAATGATATGTAAGTCTGAGTTTTGACATATTTTTCCAGACTATAAAAACTTCATTAAATTTTTTTTTATATTTTAAGTGTTCCAAAATAAGTCTGTAAAATTTATGTTTTGTGTAGAAGTAAATAGTTTTGTCCACTTAGAATTTGACTTAAATAATTTTATAATCCAAGTCAGTTTTAACCCTTGTGTAAAATTTCTCAAATTGATTATTTTTAGGCCCCCTCTGTAGTATTCTTGTCATAGAAGATCACGCTTTATCTTGTCATGTTTATTATCTAAAATGAATGAAAACATGTTGCTACTAAGTTGACGTTCTCTCTAGACCTGGGAGGGACAAGAACATCTGATTAAATTTTGATATCATAAGAGACTTTAAAATGTTATTTAACCAAATTGAGTAAGTGGCTGTTTTGACAATTTTTGTATGTTATTTTCTATTTTTTGTTTTTTAAGGATCATAATTTAGGTTCAACATTCTATCTAAATCAACCCAATAATTTTGATCCCCACTGCAGTCCCAACTTTACACATATTTTGTCTTGATTCTTTCTTTTCCTACCTATCCACGTAACGTTTGTTTTGTCTAAGTTTATTTTCAGTCCTGATATATCAGCACATAATTGAAATATGAGGAGGGATGCATCTAGCGAGGAAAGCTATCCATCTAAAATGAGTGGTGTGTCGTCTGCATATTGAGACAGGATAAAATCTGAACCATCTGTCAGACTGCTAAAATATCATTGTAAAATGGATCTTTTTTATCCAATTCATAACGGAACTTCCAAAAGAAAGATATTTAAGATTTTCAAAGAAAATGCCAATGATATAGAGTCAAAAGCCTTCTCAAATCAATGAATATCATATACCTTGGATATTGTTGTATTCCGTGAAGTTTAAAATAGCATAACAAGTCTACGATTCACCCCAATAAATCAACCCGGGATAAAGCCTTTTTGATCAGATTCAATAACTTTGTTTAGTACTGACTTTATCCGCTCAGCTATACAACTAAAAGCCAATGTTTATGTTGGATTCAAAAGTGTAATTGGACACCAATTGTTTAAGACCTGTTGTGACGTGCCTTCTTTAGGAATACATGTGATAACTCCCTCTCGGTTTGTGACAGACATTCCCCATATTTGATATGCATAATCTATCAACCTCAGGAAAAAGTTTCAAGTGTTTACCCAATTATTGTAGTAAAACCATCAGGACTTGTATTATTTTTCATCCTTTCAATGCTTGTGTTAATTCAGTAAAGGGTGTGTTACATCATAAGGATTTATTTTCATTATCTTTTAATTTAGGTGTCAAAAACGGTATTTCCCTTGATACATTTACTTTTTTTTAAGAAACTCATGTCTTTTGAAAAGTTTCTCATTAAATATTTTTGATAGTTATAAGATTTCTTAATGATTTCTTACTACGGCATTTTCATCTATACTAAAATTTTCAAATAGTTTAATCAACCAAATTTTTTATGTGTCTAAATGGCAAAAGAAATCAGTTGGAAAAGAAATCAGTTGGCCTCTCTACTTTTTCAATTCACTGGGTTCTTTACCTAACATACTGACATTTAACCCTGTTCTGTCTCAAAATTCATATTTTATTGCTTTGTGCTAACCTTTTTTTCTAGTCTCTTTGGTCAGCGGATTTTCCTTTTTTACTCTTTTTCTACTATCTTGGATTGTTTGTATTTCTATAGTTTAGGGTGTAAAGATTGAAAATTTGAATAAGATTAAATTTTCAACAGATAATACAAAACTGATTTCTCAAGAAATCTATAATTTCTGTTAATTTGTCATAGAAGCAAGGACTATCAACATTCGGCCCATAGATATTGATAAATGTATATAACTTTTTTTCAACATTAGTATCCAATCCCACCAGATTGCCAACCAACATATTTTTTTTCAACACTATGTATTTTATAGTCAAAGATATTTCAAAACAGAATAGCAACTCCTTGCTTATTTGAAGCATATATATTAAACAGACATTGCTCCTGTAGTTTTTAATTAGATCTTCATCTTGTTCTACAACGTATGTCTTAGAGACAATAAATGTTTGAATCTTTTGAATCCAGATAATGAAAATATATAATCTCCGTGTTTTCTTATTAAGAAGTCATTGTAAAGTGTAGGACAATGTTTTAATGTTTTCCTTCAATTATGATAATTCCTCTTCAATAATACTGTGAAGTAAATTTTTTGTAAACACAAACAACACGAAGAAACAAATAGTTCATGTGTGACACCAGAACTGTTTTCATAATCATTTACTACTTGTTCCTTCAATTATGATAATTCCTCTTCAATAAAATATTTGTAAACACAAACAACAAGAAGAAACAAATATGAGACATCAGAACTGTTTTCATAATTTTCTACTTGTTCATAAAATATACCATATATGTGCCAAATAAAAGAAATCCATGTTTGTAATAAATATATACATACAATAAACAAAAACAAAAGAAAATGAAACACATTTAAAACAAATAATATGAAGCTATGATATTTCCTGTCTTCATTCAGATTTACATTTGTGTTCTATGGGAGATAAATCTGATTTTTTTTGTTTATAGAATTTAAGTCAAACTAAGTTTTTGTATTTATCTGCATGATATTCTTAACTTCATTTTAATATTTAAACACCATTTTTTTCAATTTATGAATTAAATTTATTCATTAAATAAGGAAGACAATAATTTCGACAAAAGGGACGAGACCACACAAATAGCACATGCTCACAAAACTGTTCATTGTTTTGCGTTCCATGTCTGATCTAATCAAGTTTATCTCATGTTTATATCACATCACTCCGACAAGTGAGGTGTCATATAACATCTCTAGATTTAAGTAAACATATACAATTTGCTAAAGGAAGATGAATAATAACAAAAACTAAACATTCATTCACTATAAAGCTCACCTAAAAATATATATTTCTTTCCTCTAATAGTATGGAATATACATGTCTGATTTATATCCAAATTTTATTTATCTAGAAACATTGAGAAATGTAGAAATAAGAAATTATTTTGTTAACACGTTTCACGCACTGTCTTTTTTTCATTATTCCAACACTTAAAGGTAAGGATGGAGGAGAACTCATAAACTATGTTGAATATATCAGTAAGTTATCTCCGTGTTTATCCACATTATGTATACATATTTTACTTATATTAAATGATTTAATGTTGATCGTTAGTGGACAATTTTATACAAATTTGAAATATATACACTATATATGCAGGTACTTCCGATATAATGACACGCAAAGATGAAATTTTCACATTGGAAAAATTATTGTCATTGCCTTTTCTGTAAACTTTATTTTTCAACCTTCCACACGGTAAATAACGTATGCATCTTAATCATACAGGGAGGCATCATTTAATTTATTTTTGGGTGAGTGAATAAGTAGAGCGGCCATTCTTCTATAAAGCAGGGAAATTTATGTTTATATCTTATTTTGTTTTCTAAACTTTTCACCGTTTGTATAAGGTTTTGGATTACCTCGACCATAACTGCAGCGATATTAATTATTGACTCTGCATTGGTACAGTAAAATTTATAATGTTAATGTTTTTATAACATGTTGTTATTAAAAATGTCAACACCCACAAACATAATACATTTAGCAATTACATGTATTTATCTTGAAGATCAGGAACATGGTTAATTGACCATTGCATTATAAACTTTGTTTCAGGTGAGTGCGATGTACTGCAGTTATCTGAAGCAGACGATTTGAAATTTAAAGACGTCATGCAGAAGGTTGGAATGGCAAAAAAATCGATACATGTTCGTCAGTTCAAAAACACTCTTCTTGAATGGGTGAAAGATCCAGGTAAATCATGTGTACATTTCTCTTCTTTATAATGCATACGTAATTTGTTTTGGAAATAAGACTGCAGTGCTTTTTGTCAAACAAAAGTTGACGCAAAGCTGTGGAAAGGACAGGAGTCCATATTTTTCATCTGTTTCTTTCTCTTTTTTTCATATAGATAAACTACCGTCGCATATATATAATTCTTTGCGGATACCATACGGCTTGTTTTGTTAATTTTGAGCAATAGGGTAATATATGCTACACCGAGGAACAAATGATCAGTAATTGGTGTTTCTTATTTTCTTATTAACAACATATCTGTTTAATTTGGAGGTAGACTTTTATAACAAATTGTCGCCATTCCTATGGGAACGAACGTTTTTCTCCTTGCCGACTTCTTCTTATTTTCATATGAGTCGGAGTTCCTTCAAACACTTGTCAAAAACAAAAAGATCTAAGAAGCCAGATCATTTAATTTGACATTCAGATATATTGATGATGTTCTTTCAATTAACAATCCAAACTTCTGATTGGGTTCCATCATTATTTCCTCCAGAACTGGAAATTAAAGAAACAACAGATACAGCTTCCTCTGCCTCATGTTTAGACTTATACCTCGAATTTGACATAAGCGGTCATCTCAGTATAATAATCTATGACAAACAAGACGATTTTAATTTTGAAATTATAAACTTCTTCCACCTTAGCAGCAATATACCAACTTCACCTTGATATTAGATATACATTTCCCAACTCATTCAGTATTCAAGAGCTTGCAGCTGCTACTCAGACTTTATAAACGCCACCAGTGTCTGAGCAGAAAGTTGATGAACCAGGTTTATGTCAACGAACGTGTCGTCTTCTAAACAAGTTCATCATAAGATACCAAGGCCTTGTCGATAAATTTTTTGTATTAACTTCATAAGTAATACAGGATGGTCTTGAAGTATAAATTTTAGGTTCTGACGTTGTTTATCATCTTTATTACGTGTTATAGTGTTAATTCTATTCGCCTTTGTATATTTTAACCTTTACTGTTTTTTCCATTTTTGGTAATATCCTTTTGGTGTGGCTCGGTATTTATTCATCCCGCCGTTGTGTTATTGTTCTATGGTCAGTTTTCGTAGCGTCAAACGTAAACATCAGACGTTTCCATTTTTGCATATGCTTCAGAATGATACAAATACTGATAAAAGAGAGGCAAAAGATTCCAAAGGGGCATTCAAACTCATCAGTCGAAAATAAACTGACAAAGTCAGGGCTAAAATAGAAAAGACCAACAAACAACAGTACACAAAGCACAACATAGAAAACTAAAGACTTAGCAACACGAATCCCACAAAAACTTGGGTTGATCTCAGGTGCTCCTGAAGGGTAAGCAGATCCTGCTCCACATGTGGCATCCGTCGTGTTGCTCATGTAAGTAAAAACCGATATTAAGTCTTATTTGGTAAGTCACAGTAGGGGAAAAGGGGACGGGATTGTAGTTACGATAATTTGAACATATTCGACGTCATTTATGAAACAGATAATTTATAGCAGTCAACAAACTCGTGATGGCGTCCGTGATTTACGAAGGGATGATTCCAACTACACCGTTTGGAACTCTTAGTTTAATAGCTTCCTTGTGATAAAAATATGCTAAAGAAAACAATGCGACTTTTTGGTTTATTCTTTACTTCAATATCTCATACTAAAATATTCCGGAATACAAAATTGAAAGTTACCTTACTTACAGACCGGTATACCATGGGAACATTGTATGCGACTGCCATGCAAGTGAGAGGTTTAGCTAGCTATAAAACCAGGTTTGATCAACCAATTTTTACATAAGGAAATGCCTGTACCAATTCAGGAATATGACAGTTGTTTTCCATTCTTTTGATGTGTTAGAGCTTTTAATTTTGCCATTTGATAAGGGACTTTCCTTGAAGTTCGGTATTTTTGTTATTATACCTTTGAGCTATTTTTGATAAAGAAACAAACTGGTTTTTTTTATCGTTTCTAACATCTTTTTCATCCTGATTCCATGACTAGAAATAAATAGTGTTACTCTTTTAAAAGAAAGTTATTAAAGGCTATCTTATTTGTATATACTATGCAGCCAACAAGTTTAACTTCATTTCCCCTCATTTCATTGTTCACAATAAATTATAAATGTGACAAAGGGATTACAATAAAATAATCACCAAAATGTATAATTGTTAACTGAGCGATGCTTTGGTTTTAATTCGATATGTTTATTACAATTTCAGGAAAGGATTCGCATGTACCTAGCTACATAAAGGAAGATGACGACTCTAGAATGCCTCCAGCTCCAAGAAGCTTGAATCCTCGAACTGCGACACCGCCACTGCCTGATAAGTATTCTGTGGTACAACAATTGCCAAAATCTACACAAGGAAATCAGACAAAAGAAAAAGATGAGCTAACAAGCAGTGTAAGACTTTAATCTAACTGATAAAATAATAAAAGATTCGTTTAACATATATCTAATCAAAATATATAATAGTAAGGAAAACGGAAAATTCATTGTCGAAGAAAATACTTATAAGCAAAACAAGCATAGGAGATTTACTGTAATACATGTTTCAAGAATGGTCTCTTCAAGCATATAAAAAATATTCTTTCAGTTCAAATGACATGACACCTGACATCATATGTGCCAAATATAGTCGACCAAGATGGAAGACAAATTGACCTATATAACAAGTAGATTGATCAATAAAAATTACATTTTTTAAAGATATTGATACTTCCCAGTCAGCAACATAATTTTGGATTGCTCTTTACCACTTATATACAAGTATTTTTTCTTGTCAGAACGTGCATCTATTTTAAGCGGGTACGAAACATATCAACTTAAATTTTAAAGATGCTATGCTATTTGAAAACTTGCCTGATATTTAGTATAAATATCTCATTAATTTATATTTTGAGTAATACATGTTTTTCATTTTTATTTTAATTATTCGTACTCAACAGCTATAAGTAAAGGCAACAGTAGTATACTGCTGATTAATAGTAATAATTCGAGTAAGCAAAGACAAATCCCGGTAACAAACTTAAACCGAGGGAAACACATCAACAATACGAGGAAAACAACAGAACAACCGAAACACTGAACTACAACAAAAGCAAACGCCAACATACATAGAAACGGAGTGTAGATAACAACTGCCATATTCCTGACTTGCTAGTTGAACCTGGTTTTATGGCTAGCCAAATCTCCCGTTTATATGACAATGTTACAATGTTAAAAATACCGCTAAAATGACAACACTACGTGACAGGAATACAGTACAAACAAACACAAGAACACTCAGCAAAGAGAAATACATAAATAAATAATATAATAGTACATTACAACATGTAAACCGCAGAATAACAACGGACACCTCCCATGATTTACGGCAGCACACCATGACACCATAAACGAAATATAAACTGCGCGTCTCATGAATGCATACGGTTAGGTTTCAAAGCATTTGTTCTAATAAACTGGGCGTGATTTATAAATTTCTGCACTTTAGACTGATCGCTATGCTGCGATTCAAACTTTGATGTCTGACAATAACATTTTTACAAAAGGTTCACCGGAAAAGACTAAGACCTAATAGACAAATATGCAATGTCAACTTCACACATAATACAAGATGGTCTTGAGGTAAAGATAATAGGCGCTGAAGTTGTGTATCTCTTTATTTACCTAACAGTTTACCCTTATTTGTATCCATACTATGTTGTAGCTTTTGGTCGTATAATTTTTGACGTGACTCGGTATTTATGCATCCAGCTATTGGGTATTTGACTTCGACCCTCTTGTTGTCTTCTCATTGGATTCGTTAGATTTGAACATCGGTAGACTACTCATTTCTTAATTTACAGATGACCGATATATGTTCTAGAGTTAAAGGCCCCTTTCATATGTATTGTGATATATGGGTGTTACCTTCTTCAATAGTATCAACCTGAGGTAAAACATTGAAAAAAATAGATCTTTACCCTCAAATTGTCACTTATTACAATTCATGTTCAAACAAATGAGATAAACAATCTGTCAACAGGTGTAACATTGTTCATTCGACATAATCTCTAGTGAACAACACCAGCTACATTATTACTTTAATTTGGAACTTTTGTCTCTCTGTGATCTGCCTGTACCAAAATCAGGAATATGGCAGTTGTTTTTCACGTGTTCCGGTGATTGACAGCGTTTGATTATGTCAATTTTTATGGACTTCCCCTTTTTGAATTTGCCTTGGAGTTCAGTATTTTTGTTATATTTTTTCCAGTATGCCTTAAAACTAAGAGTATTTCTCTAAGTTCTTTTGAAAAGCTTATGCCTTGGAAAGATCGATTGTATGACCGGAACTACTATAAAGTAGTTTATTGTGCTGTTGTGCCTTTATCCACAATTCATATACCAGGTGAATCTGACATTGAAGCTACTTCATATTTTGCAATACTTTGGGAATCACGCAAAGAGGGGGAGACATCTAAGGCGAACATTTGAGGATTTTGAATTCATAATCAAACATTTTTGTTTGAAGTTTTTCTGTCGAGGCAAACAAATCTTTCAGAGGTTGGCACCACAAATGTAAAAAAAAGTTTGAACATTTTGTAAGCTTAATTTTGTTCTGCTAAACTGATCTGCAATGATATTTTTCTTTCACATTATGTAAGCAGCCTTAAAGGTTCTATTGGTCCTCTATTATTTGTTAAATTACTGGACCACCGTTTTGCTGTCTGAGCTTATCAAAACTGATTGACATATAAAATTCGTCAGAAATTATTTGATCGCGCGTACTACTGCTTCAATTCATATGTAGCTTATGTGTTTTTTACTCTCTGATGCAGTCCACTCTCCCTGAAAAATGGACTTGTGCCTAACAACCCATATTAATATGTGGCATCTCGGTGAAAGTTAGTTTGCAAAAACATCAACTTGACACTTAGTACGCATGTTTATTATGAAGTACACTGTTTAATATAGTGATATAATTAAAAGTAATTAAAACAAATACTTTTTTTAGAATTCAGAAAAAAGGGAGTTCCCTAAGCAACAAGACACAACGCAACATCAAACACACAGTGAAGTCAAAGGTACTTATTATTCTAAATGTGTAGTACATGTAAGACAGTACTTGCAATTAATGTACCGAACGTTCAATATTTCATTTTTTTAATTTTGAACAGTTTACATCATATACAGCATGTACATTAGAATAGGAATAACAGTTCTGTTTTTTAAGATTTGTAACCATAAATTTAGAAGATGAATGTATTGTATATAATGCTTTGCCTATACGAAAAACGTAGGTTTTACCGTCGGGGTTCAGCTCATATGCATTTTCTACAAAGAAATTGTTCAAGAGATTGACAAAAGTTCTGTCCGCAATGAAAGAAGGTCTTCAGAATTACTTCATATGTTTACTGGCGTAGTGGTAATAACCATATGTGGATTCTAATAAGCTCTAAAGAACTTCTGGGTAATTTTCAATCTCAATTTTCTCTGAAATTAATTCTATGAATAAAGGCAACAGTAGTATACCGCTATTCGAAATTCATAAATCGATTGAGAAAAAAACAAATCCGGGTTACAAACTAAAACTGAGGGAAACACATCAAATATAAGAGGAGAACAACGACACAACAGAAACACAACACTAAAATGCAACACACACAGAAACGAACTATAATATAACAATTGCCATTTTTCTGACTTGGTACAGGACATTTTAAGAAAAAATGGTGGGTTGAACCTGGTTTTGTGGCTAGCCAAACCTCCCGCAAACAGGACACAAATAAACAAAAACGACAATGCAACACTCACAGAAACAAACTATACGATAAAATTTGCCATTTTCCTGACTTGGTACAGGACATTCTTTAGAAAAAAATGATGGGTTGAACCAAAACCTTTTATTTTTCAAGCTTTTATACCACCATTATCCCATGTGAAATTGAAAGATCGTCTAAAAAAATAATCTACAATGCTTTTCAATACAAAAATGGTAGTATACGCTAAATATTTATTGCTTTAGGATACCATACGGCATGTTTTGTTAAAAGTGAACAAAATGGTTATATATGCTACACCGAGGAACAAGTGATCAGTATACTGGAGTTTCTTATTAGCAACATATTTGTTTAATTTGGAGGTAGACTTTTTCATCAAATTGTCGGCATTCCTATGGGAACGAACTTTCTTCTCCTTGCCGACTTCTTCTTATTTTCATATGAGTCGGATTTCCTTCAGACTCTTGTCAAATACAAGAAGATCAAAGAAACCAGATCGTTTAATTTCACATTCAGATATATTGATGATTTCCTTTCAATTTTTTTTCTATATCCTCCAGAACTAGAAATTAAAGAAACAACAGACACGGCTTCCTCTGCCTCATGTTTAGACTTATACCTCAAATTTGACATAAGCGGTTATCTCAGTACCATAATCTATGACAAACGAAACGATTTTAATTCTAAAATTATGAATTTTAGACAACTTAGCGGCAATATACCAACTTCACCTGGATATTGGAGATGTATTTCCTAACTCATTTGGTATTCAAGAGCATGCAGCTGCTACTCAAAACTTTACAAAATGTCACCAGTGTCTGAGCCGAAAGTTGATGAACCAGGTTATGTCAACGAACGTCTCGTCCTTTTTTAAAACAAGTTTATCAGAAGATACCAAGACCTTGTCGATAAATATTTCGTATCAACTTCATAAATGGTACACGATGGTCTTGAAGTATAGATTTTAGGTTCGGACGTTGTTTGTCATCTTAATTGCGTGTTAATGTGCTCTTTCTTTTTATCTTTGTACATTTTTAACCTTTTCTGTTTATTCCATTTTTGGTAATATCCTTTTGGTGTGACTCGTTATTTATTTATCCCGCCATTGTGTTATTTTGCTATAATCAGTTTTCTAAGCGTCAAACGTGAACACCAGACGTTTCCAAAATTTGCATATGCTTCAGAATGATACAAATACAATGCAAAAGTTACCAAAGGGACATTCAAACTCATCAGTCGAAAATAAACTGACAACGCCATGGTTTAAATAGAAAAAGCCCAACAAACAACAGTACACAAAACACAATATAGAAAATTAAACACTGAGAAACACGAACCCCACCAAAACTAATTCTGATTTTGATTTTGCCATTTGATAAGGGACTTTCCATCTTGAATTTTTACTGACGTCCGGTATTTTTGTTATTTTACTTTTAAGCTATTTTTGATAAAGAAACAAACTTTTTTTCCAATCAATTCTAACATCTTTTTCATCCTGATTCCATGACTAGAAATACATAGTGTTACTCTTTTAAAAGAAAATTATTAAAAGTTATATTATTTGTACGTACTATGCATCCAACAAGTTTAACTTCATTTTCCCCTCGTTCACAATACATTATATATAGTTGAAAGGGCTTGCAATAAAACACTACCCAAAATGTATAACTTTTAACTGAGCGATGCTTTGGCTTTAATTAGATATGTTTATTACTAACTCATACAGGAACTTCTTAGGAAAAAAGAAAAGAAGTTAGCAGTATCATTTAACTTTACATTCCGCTATAAAGATGATGTTCTCTCACTAAATAATCGAAAAGTTGGTGACTATGTTGAACGCATCTATCCCATCGAACTAGGGATAAAGGATACAACAGATACAGTTAAGTCTGCCTCATATCTTGACGTACATCTAGAAATTTACAATGAGGGTAGGTTGAAAGCAAAACTTTACGACTAAAGAGATGATTTTAGCTTCCCAATTGTGAAGTTTCAATTTCTATGTAGCAACATTCCCGCAGCGTTTGCATACGGAGTATATATCTCGCAATTGAAACGATATTCCCGGGCTTGTATTTCCTATCATGATTTTCTTGATAGAGGGTTGCTGATCACAAGGAAGCTATTAAAACAAGAGTTCCAAATGGTGAAGTTGAAATCATCACTTCGTAAATTTTACGGACGCCATCACGAGTCGGTTGACCGTTATGGAATATCCGTTTCACAGATGATAGTCGTAACTACAATCCCGTTCCCTTTTCACGAATGTGACCTACCGAATTAGACTATTTACCGGGTTTGTACTAACATGAGGAACTCGACGGGTGCCACACACTACAAACCAGTAAAAGTCTGAAATGGCCTATATTTGTATTCGACTGTACTGATTTTTACTCGACCAGTCTGAACTGGTCTGAAATTTACTTGATAATACTCGACTGTAGTCTGAACCATACTTAACAGTCTGAACTTGTACTCGACCTTTACTCGACCAGTACTTAACCATTTTATTTTCGTCTGAACCATGCTCGACCTAGTCTGAACCATGCTCGACCTAGTCTGAACCATACTAGACCTAGTCTGAACCATACTTGACTAAGTCTTAACCAACCTAGACCTAATTTTTGTATCTATCTATTGTATTTCATCAATTTAGGAACTGTTTTTAACAGCTATTTCCCCTGGCTAAAAATTTAAACAACAATTTGAAATTTAAAATGTATTCAATATGGCATTGAAACCAAAATTTCACAATAAACATGATATAAATTCAACACCAAATTTATCAACACTTACATATATATATATATATCACCTTTAAAATAAAAATAAAACAAGCTGATCAAATAATCTCAAAACTGAATGTTGACTTATATTTTCAATGTTATTCAAATTTTTTTGAATGTTTCAGATATATTTTATGGTTACTGGACAATTTTCACCATTTACTTAAGCCTTGTATAGATCTATGGTGTCAGTTGAGTTTAGTTAATAATGCAGTGAACATTTTGTTTATTAAAATATATCTAAAATAGTATATAAAGCAACTTAACAAATTTTAAAAATCACACCTTTGTTTTGTAAAACCAAGAATGTAATATAATCATGATACTAGAACTTCCATAGCAATCCTTGATAACCATTTAAAAAAGGAAATGTGTTCCAAAGTTGCAGAAAAAATTTATTTCAATTAAATTTAAATAACGTTTGTCAAAATTAAAGACATGGCATACAAGAAGCATTTTAATAAGGTGTAATTACCTCAGTACATGTGTGTTTTACAGGTAAAAAGAAAGCCCTTTTTTCTTAAACTCGTGTATTACTTATCTAGTGAATTCAAAAGCCCTTGTGATTTAAGTTTTACGGGATGTTGCAATTTTTAATGAATGTTAATTAGAAATTAATACTCTCCGACCAGGTGTGATCTTTTTAATGAGTTTGCCCCAAGCAGGAGGTATAACTTTATACTTTAGCACTAATCAGAAGAAAAAAATAATCTATTTCTTTAATTTTTTTATTCCTTTTTGATTTTGATATATAATATATCCCAAATTATAATAAGAATAGATATATTTCTAATATAAGGTTAAACAATTTCAGTGATTTTTTTGGCTGTTGTTATCTCATTAAAAAGATAATTATATAAGTATTGTATGTAACCATGAAACCTATATAGTTTTTCTTAAGAAATTTAGGAAAATTAAGTTTAAAAACAAAAAACACATGCCAAACAAGAAGCACCTTAATAAGGTTTTATTACCCTCAGTAAAGGTGTGGTTTTTAGTTAAAAGAAAATCTTTTTTTTAGCAAAACTCTAAAACTTTAAAATTAATATAATTAAATTATTATATAAGATAATTTAATGTAACTATCTCTATTTGATAAATCTGAGAATCATGTAAGGATGTAAAAATATGTTTTTATATATATCTTTATTTTATTGTGGATGTTGTCATGTCATAAAAAAATTAATTTTAACATCTAAAATTAAAAAAAGTATAGGTTTTTTGGTCAAGTATGGTTCAGACTGGTCGAGTATTGTTCAGACATTTGGTCGAGTATGGTTTAGACTGAAAAAATAGGTCGAGTACAGGACGAGAATGGGTTAAGACTGTTTCAGACTGGTCGAGTAATAGTTCAAACTATTTTCAATGGCAAAGATAAGGGTCAAGTACAAATCAGTACGGTCGAGTATGGTTAAGACTGGGGTCGAGTAATGTCGAGTAAAATTCAGACCAATTCAGACTGGTCGAGTAAAAATCAGTACAGTCGAGTACAGATATAGGCCATTTCAGACTTTTACTGGTTTGTAGTGACATGTGGAGAAGGATCTGCTTACCTTTCCGGAGCACCTGAGATCACCCAGTTTTTTGGTGGGGTTCGTGTTGCTTAGTCTTTAGTTTTCTATGTTGTGTTTTGTGTACTATTGTGTGTCTGTCTGTCTGTTTTGTTTTTTTTTCTTTTTTAGCCATGACGTTGTCAGTTAATTTTCGATTCATGAGTTTGAATGTCTCTCTGGAATCTTACGCCGCCCCTCTTTTATTACAATTTCAGGAAAGAATTCGCATGTACCTAGTTACATAAAGGAAGATGACGACTCTAGAATGCCACCAGCTCTAAGAAGCTTGAATCCTCGAACTGCGACACCGCCACTGCCTGATAAGTCTTCTGTGGTACAACAGTTGCCAAAATCTACACAAGGGAACCAGACAAAAGAAAAGGATGAGCTTACAAGCAGTGTAAGACTTTATTTTAATTGATAAAATGATAAAAGATTTGTTTAACATATATATAATAAAAATATGCCATAGTAAGGAAAACGGTAAATTCATTGTCGAAGAAAATACTTATAAAGCAAAACAAGGATATGAGATTTACTGTAATACATGTATCACGAATGGTCTTTTTAAGCATATATAAATTATTCTTTCTGTTCAAATGACATGAACCGCTGACATCATATGTGCCAAATATAATCGACCAAGATAGCAGCAAACTTGACCTATATTACAAGTAGATTGTTCAATAAAACTTGAAAAGGTTGTAGCTCAAATTACATTTTTAAAGATATTGATACTTCCCGGTCAGTATCATAATTTTGAATTGTTCTTTACCACTTATAGACAAGTATTTTTCTAATGCTGCTCATTTGTCAGAACGTGCATCAGTTCAAAAGCGGGTACGAAACACCTCCACTTAAATTTCAAGACGCTATGCTGGTGTTAACTTGCCTGATATTTAGTATAAATATCTCATTAATTTATATTTTGAGTAACATATTTTTCTTTTTTTCATTTTTATTTTAAATATTCGTACTCAACCGTTTAAGCATACTGTTTTAGGTTCAAAAGCATTTGCTCTAATTAACTAGACGTGATTTACAAATTTCTGCACTTTAGACTGCTCGGTATGGTGCAATTGAAACTTTGTATGTTTGAGCAAAACATTTTTGCAAAAAGTTCATCAGAAAAGACCAAGACCTAATAGACAAAAATGCAGTGTCTACTTCCAACATATAATACAAGATGGTCTTGAGGTATAGATTACAGGTGCTGAAGTTGTGTATCTCTTTATTTACTTTACAGTTTACCCTTATTTGAATCCATACTATTGTGTTGCTTTTGGTCGTATAATTTATGACGTGACTCGGTATTTCTGCATTCAGCTATCGGATATTTGACTTTCACCCTATCTTTGGCCGTGAGTCTCGCTACTTTTGGAGTTTATTCGAATCTCAATGGTTTTGCCTCGAGCATCTCTGAAGAGACATTGATTGTCGAAAGGCGCATCTAGTACAGAAATATTGGTACCGTTTATGTTATTACTACCACTGGGTCGATGCCTCTGCTGGTGGACTGATAGTCCACGCGGGTATCACCAGCCCAATAGGCAGTACTTCGGTAATGGCATGAAAATACGGATTTTTTTTTATTTAAATTTGCTGTTACAAAATTTTGGAAATTATTTTAAATTAAGGAATATATCTCCCTTATACAAAGCTCTGATTCCTTGCCCGGCTTTGGCTATACTTTTGTGTCCTTTTTTATTTATAGGTCTTCATCTTTTTGATAAGTTTTGGATTTTCACATATTTTTGCCTCTTGGAAAACTGAAGAGACATTAATGGTCAAAATACGCACCTGGTGCAGAAAAAATGATACCGTTTATGTTATTAGATTCTGTTTGTTACCTTGATATGTCTCCTCATTGGATTCGTGAGATTTGAACATTGGTAGACTACTTATGTCTTAATTTACAGATGACCGATATGTCTTCTAATTATTCTAACCACAATCCCGTTCACTTTTAATCAATTATGACATACCCGGGTGAAAGCGAACATACCACGAACAACACGACAAGTTCCTATAAAAAAACGGCCGGGATATTGTTACTTTTCGAAATACCTGAGAAAACCACATTTGATGTAAGCTGTATCCTCTTAATTATAACGACGCTTTTTTCAACTGCGTTTTCAACTCAAAGTTTTCAAGAGGTTCAACATGCACTTTTTGCAATCAGTTTAAAACCAACTGCAAATCTCATTCAGGTTATAATTTTGATGTATGTGGTCTAGAGTTAAAAACCCATTTCATATGTATTGTAATATAAAGGTGTTACCTGCTTCAATAGTATCAAACCGAGGTAAAACATTGGAAAAATAGATCTTTACACTGAAATTGTCACTTATTGCAATTAATTACCAATCAAATGAGATAAACAATCTGCCAACAGGTGAAAAATTGTTGATTGGGAATAATCTCTTGTGAACAACACCAGCTACATTATTACTTTAATTTGGAACTTTTGTCTTTCTGGGATCTGCCTGTACTAAATCAGGAATATGGCAGTTGTTTTCACATGTTCCGGTGATTGACAGCGTTTGATTATGTCGGTTTTTATGGACTACCCCTTTTTGAATTTGCCTTGGAGTTCAGTATTTTTGTTATACTTTTTTTTCAGTACGACTGAAAACTAAAAGGTTTTCATTAAGTTCTTTCGAAAAACTTTCGCCTTGGAAAGATCAATTGTATGACTGAAACTACTATGAAATTGTTTTGTGTGGTGGGGTGTCTTTATCCACAATGTATATTACAGTTGAATCTGGCGTTGAAGCTACTTCATATTTTGCAATTCTTTGTGAATCACGCAAAGTGGTGGATTAACATATGGATACATTTGCCTCGCAGGTATTTCTGAGACATCTACGATAAACAGTTGAAGATTTTGAATTCATAATCAAACATTTTTGTTTGAAGGTATTCTGTCGAGGCAAGCAAATAGATCAGGGGTTGGCACCACAAATGTAAAAAATAGTTTGAAAATTTTGTAAGCGCTTAATTTTGTTCTGCTCATGATATTTTTCTTTCACATTATGGAAGCAACCTTAAAGGTTCTATTTGTTTTCTTTTGTTTGTTAATGTCCTGGACCACCGTTCTGCTGTCTGAGCTTATCAAAACGGATTGACCTATAAGATCCTTCAGAAATTATTTGATCGCGCGTACTACTGTTTCCATTTATAAGTAGCTTATGTGTTTCTTGCTCTCTGATGCAGTCCACTCTCCCTGAAAAAAATATGACTTGTGTCTAACAACCCATATTAATACGTAGCGTCTTGGTGAAAGGTAGTTTGCATTGACATCCGCTTGACACTTTGTACTCATGTTCATTATAAAGTACACTGTTTAATATAGTGATATAATTGAAAGTAATTAAAACAAATACGTTTTTTAGAAATCAGAAAAGAAGGAGTTCCCTAAGCAACAAGACACAGCGCAACAACAAAAACACAGTGAAGTCAAAGGTACTTATTATTCTAAATGTGTAGTACATGTAATAAAGTACTTGCCATTAATGTATCGAACGTTCAATATTTCAAAATTGCGGCTAATTGTGTAATATGATTTTACTACAAGGATTGACAAAGTTTTAGATATAAAGTCATCAATTAGATTAATCCTGTCCGGCAGTAACACAATTGCTGAAGTGCGACGTTCGTTTGACTTTGCGGGCTGTATAAATACAAAACCATGTCAAGTCAGAATGATGACGTTAAATCTGATGACATGTGTATAGTGAGAGTCAAACACTTTCTACGCGTACCATCTTTGCAACAACTTATCGATTGGTTTGAAGGTGGACGATTGCAAGGAAACAATTTGGTTCCAGCCCAAAACTACCCTCATTTTCCAGTGTCAATAGACATTTAAGTCCTTCATCCTGGTCGACTCACTTTCGAGGATCTACTGATTGCAGTAATTGTAGATTTGTCATCGTCCTGAATATGCATGATATATTTGCCTCTGGTAGGTAAACAAACATCATTTCATTAATCAAATATTGACTTGCTCTTATGTTGTACTGTTACACCAGTGTCATAAGTTAAGGGAGGGTTGCGCCAGCAAAATAGTTTAACTCCGCCACATTCTGTATGTGCCTGTCCAAAGTCAGGAGCATGTAATTCAGTGGTGATCATGGGTTGCTGTATATCATCTTTGTTTTTCGTTCATTATTTTGTACATAAATCAGGTCGTTAGTTTTCTCCTGTGAATTGTTCAACATTTGTTATTTCGTGATACGACATTGGTTTTGCGCATTGTTGAAGTCCGTAGGGTGGCCTTTAGCTGTTAACCTCTATGTCATTTTGTCTCTGGTTGAATGTTGTCTCATTGTCAATCATGCCACATCTCCTCATTTTTATATTAACCCGCGAATATATCTACTCGATACTATCTACCAAAAAAGTCAGTGGAATCCATGAAGTCAAAACAAACATTAGTATGACAACAGAGTTAATAAATCAATTATTAGTATCAGCACGCATGACAGATGCATGGGTGTTGAACAGTTTGAATTCAATCAATTTCTCAGGGTTAATTCAATTATACATGTACCAATTTCCATTAATTAATTTAGACAGTAAACAAATATAATAAGCTGCGGATTCAAATGCGCATGCTTCGTGTTTATCGGAATATTGAAATTGTTGCAAGAATAAAATGGAGAATTAAGAAGACATTTTATCGTAAGTTAATAAGTTATCTAAGCTTATGGTAGGATTATGCAACCCCACACAGGTTTATTCTCGGCACATTCTGTATTTACTTTTCTCTAGTCAGGAGCCTGTAATTCAGTGGTTGCCGTTTATTTTGCTGTATATCGTATTTGTTTTTTCGTTTATTGTTTTGTACATAAATCAGACCGTTAGTTTTTTTGTTTGGATTGATTTACATTCGGGTCTCAGCTTGCCATGCTAAATGAGTGTTGCCCATTGTTGCTAAGATTGATATGTTTAAGTGTGTGAGAAAGATAATAAGGTTTGAAATGTAATAAAATACAAAGATTTACATTTATTACCGATACAAAGGAAGCGGCCCTCAATTTTGATTTAAATGAAGCAGTGGAAATCTGGTTACAAGTGAATAGAATCATACTTAATAATTTATATAAACATGATCAAATAGTAGTAATCAACACCTCACCAATTTTAATAACTGGTAAATCAAATTTTGAAAAATGAGATTTATGGGAAATATATAATAACTAAATCAAAATCAAGGTACAACAGTTGTCTTGTTACACCTGTATGAAACGTGTGGACATAAATGACGTATTTTGCGATTCTGGTCCACGAATTTTTAAGTTTTGAAATTTTCATATTACTTATCTAAAAAAAAATAAGATATTTTATTCATATAGGTTATGAAAAAAATTATTAATATTATCTTCGCTTCTATCATTTGCATATAACTTATGAGAGTATTTTATTTTGTTTAGTTCTCTAATCTTAGAACTGCCGATGAGGTTGAACACAACTTTTTATTTTAAAAGCATCTAAAAAATACAAAAACACATCATCGCATAAACATTTTAATTTCTTATATATTTAAAAACGTTTAAATAAGGAATATGAAAGCCTTTCGATTTGCTTTTGTAAAGACATTACAATAGCGTACCTATACACCGACAACGTTCAAAACGTACGAGTTGAGTGGACAAACTTGCAAGACATTAGATTTGTTCAAAAACGAGGTTTTATTGAGTTAGTAAACTATCAGAAAGTACACAATTGTTTAAAGCGTTCAAGTACAATTACGAAAAAGCACTATCTTACATACTTGAACTCGAATATTTTAATTACTGATGTTGCAACTGATTTTTTACCTGTAAAAAACGGCAAAATTCGATATCGGACATTCTTGCAAAACATTTACTAAATACCGTTGCGTTTTTATTTGTGGCGTGAATGCTCTAAAAACCCGATTTTTAAATGATGTATCCATGTAATTTATTAAGCAGTATTTATCAAAACGCAATAATATATAACCGTATGTAAAAAAAATCTCATAAAGTTTCATGAATTAACATTTTCTGGAATCTGACCATGATGAAAACAATTAATTTTTTTATTAAATATCAGTTCGATCGTTAAATCAGCAAGTATTCGCTAATAAAATCATAAATAAAATATTTCATTAATATTTCTGCAAGTTTTTACGAATTTCATATTCTCACGAAGTGTTCAAAAACGCATACTAAGATTATTATACGTATACTCCGTGTGCATGATTTCGACACTTTATGGCAATAACGTGCGTAACGTCATTAAAGTGACCTATACTTTCTACGTCATTCAGTGTCTGGTGGAGAGTTGATTAATTCGCAATCATACCACCTCTTCTTATTTTCATACAATAGAAAAAACATGCAGTAGAACGCCATTAGGCGTATAAATGTTTCGTCCAATATGACTGTTAAAAGTCCAATATAACAATATTAAGTTCTTAGTAATTTGAGCATACTAGAGCTTGTGCATACCATTCACAAAAACTTTTATTTATTTGATGGTCAAAATCCAATGGAATGACAAATCGCTATTTCTTTTTTAATTCTAACAGTATGTTATGGGTACCAATTCCAAAAATTATATAAAGCTTCCAGTAAACAAATCCAAGCAAACGCAAGCTATTGTAAAATATGTGAAAAATGATTTCAAATCTCACAATAACAGCTGCCGTATCTCTAACGACAAACAGGAAAATATAAAAAAAAAATCGAAGGAACATTCAATTACCTATCCCAACAATAATTTTAAAAAATTAGGAAATTAATCCAAGCACACTGGAGTAATACAAATAAAAGACATAATAATCCAATGAACATGCAAGGGACTCCGTGGGTGTCTTACATCAGATTTAATACATTTCAGATCAGGAACATCACGGACATCATGGCCTTACTCGTTACTATGATGAGTTATTAGATAACACAGTACTTGACAAGATGGTTCTAGATAACCTCATTTCCAGATGTATTTTAATGATAGAGGACAGAGAAGAAATTATCAAACCAACCACACAACGTGAACGTAACAAGGTTCTACTGGGTATCTTAACTGAACGACCATATCCTACCTTCCATTTGTTAAAGGATGTCTTACAGGAATCTGAACCAAACAATAGTTGTGTTCAAGAGCTTGTCAAGAGAATGATGAGTACTGAAATCAGGGACGAACACATAAGTTGCCAAGCACACGAGATTAGTAAGTAGTTTCAGCTAAACATTTGTTGAAATAGATGTAGAATGAGCCATGTACACTAACTTGTAATATTTGAATATATAGTTGTGTGCACACACAATTCCTCAGTATCTTTAAATGTAAACACTTCCTAAATTTCTGACTGAATTTCAATGAAACATGGATCATGGGATGGCCAGTAACAAGTGTTGCTTATTTCAAAAATGCAAAAGGCTGTCAGCAGAGATCAAAGTTTACATTGAAACGCTATGGAAAATACTGCATTGATTTCTATTTAAGAATAGATGAAAGGAATTTAACCCAAGTTATGCAGAAATGTTCCTTAGATGGAAATGTCTGTTTTTTTATTTCTTTTGTTTTAATAAATAAATTTCATAGCATGGCAAAATACATCTTTCGAGTGATTCAGACTCCCAGCAGCCTCTATTTATAATTACTATATGAATTTGTCGTCAAAAATGTTTCAGTGTATTTCAATTTAAGAATTACTTTTTATTTCTCTGGACCATTGATATGTACCAAGTATGCTATTTTCAAAAGGTCATTTATTCAAACTGATCTAACTATATTATACTGCTGTTATGTTAAATATCCCATATTTCCTAATTAATACATTTACTCTGACCAGCATAGGGTAACATGATTGGACTAATAAAATATTGTGTATCAACAAAAACATTTAAAAAATGATGGTATTTTATAGAGTTATGTACATTCCTGCTTTGTGGTGTGAAATAATCTGTGAGGCGTATTATAAGATTATTATTTCAGGCCATTGATTATCCCTTAACCTTTATCACAGCGAATAAATTTAAGTTTTTTTCTTTATCTAAATGCAAAACATGGTAGTTATACAAGTTTTTGGCGTGAAAAAAAACCCAGTGTAAATGTCAATTAAATTTTAAGAAATAACAATCTAATTAAAATTAAATCCTTGAATTGCTCCCGTTCTGATATGTCGCGCATCAATTCCTTTAAGAGATCAATTCTGATTGGACGAAAAATTAATGTTATTCAAATAAAACGTTCGTGAATCTATGTTACGAAATTTGACCTCTCTATCGGGTTTCGTTAAATCCTTGATGCGCGACATATCAGAACGGGAGTAATTCAAGGATTTAATTTCAATAAGATTGAAGAAATAAAAAAAAAAGGTTCTAGTAACGTAAGGTTTTAGCAAAGTATTGCATTTGTGTTGATTTCAGGTGTGTTAATAATAATAATAATGATAATAATAATAATAAAAAATAATTACAGTAAATAATAATGACTTTATTTAAAGAGGATGACTCAATAAGCATTCACTAATCTATATTGAGGCCCTCACATAAAAAATACTGAAGAACATGAAGAAGTATTACAGATATTACAATTTTTGAACAATTTATTAAAATTTCATGCTAAATGATTGTCTGTAGATCAAGAAAAACAAAACAAACAATACAATACATTATACAAAAACGTTAAACAGACATGAAAGAGTTAGAGAGTTTATATATCATTTATAGTATACAAAAAAAGGAGCTATATGTAAATGATGTTATAATCAAATTGGATTAGGCCTCACTACCGCTAGATTATTGTTTGTAGAAGATCATAAATGATCTGAGATTTTGTATAAATGTAATAGTTGGCAGAGAATGAGGTGATCAACAAAATCAAATGCTTGTTTCAGATCTAGAAAGACTGTTCCTACAACATTACCGTCATCAATATATTTAAGCCAGTTATCTATCAATTTGGTAAGGGCTGTTTGGAGTGAGTGGTTTGATCTTAATCCGGATTGTGCCTCGTGTAATAGTTTATATTTTGACAGATAAAGATAAAAATGATTGGCAACATGTTTTTCAAATACGTTAGATATAGTGGGAAGCATGTTTTGTGATTGCGAACTGTTTACAATAATTCCATTATACTTGATACAGCTACCCACTTACACACTGTTAACTCCAATTCGCGCGAGTACACGTGCTGTCATGATCGTTGATGTACTACTGTTGTAAACGGAGAGCATGATTTTCACTAGAAAATCCCATTGCCTCCTCCGGAACCTCTATGTTACAAGTCAGCACCCGAACCGATTGAGCTAGAGAAGTACTTCGAATCCCTAGCTTAATCGATAACTGCTTGTTAAGTATCTACTACACTAAATACTGACGTACTGTTAATTTGGATCGTCCATAGATCTTATGGGCTGGCGAATGAATAATATAGATTTTCATGCATCTATCGACTGCAGGAAGTATCTTGCAGTTGCTTCGTACTTCGAGTGATAAAACATTTCAGCCACATTTAAGAAGATAACATATTTAGCAAATGATCAAGTGAGTAGGTTATGTTAGCACAGAGGATCGAAAAGGACAACTGGATAGGTGAAAAGTGTTTTACACTGAACATACACCTTCCCTAAATACCAGACTGGAGAAGTTTATGAGACTATCATTCTATACTCGTACGCGGTGGTTGTCCCTTTTCCTTAAAGAAAATCACATCGTACACTTTTCTTATTTTCAATATTTTAAAAATACATTTAAAAATAAGGAGATGTAGTATGATTGCAATTGAGACAACTATCCACCAAAGTTCAAATGAAGTGGATGTAAGCAATTATTGTTGTCTTTGTTCTTTGATGAATAGTTCAAATTTAAAAAGCAAGACCTCATCTATTTTCATTTTCCTAATCATGCCATGATCAAACTAATGCATACATTATAATTTTCGCGTATTTTATGCAACGTTTAGGACAGCAATAGGTTAAGTTGACTAGATAAATTGTTCTAACGGAAAATATAACTCGCGGAAGCCTATTTTGGTTCGCTAAGCTTTATCAGTAGTGGACCCGGGAACTTTTGAATTAACAACATAAACGGTTCAAATTGTATTGCACCATGCTTTACAAAGGGTGAGTGGTAACATGTGAATAAGGAGAGGAAGAGGGAGCCAAACCTTATATTATATTTTAATGCTCAAGACATTCTTGATCTTGACACATATATATATAGCATAGACACCTCTCTATTTTGGAAGACCGTGTGTCTATTGCGTGACTCATGCGTTTGTACATGCGAATTCATATTAATAGATATATTTGACTTTAAGATCACAGAGGTAGTGCCAATATCACCTGAATTAATAAGGACTATTTCAAAAAGTATGCCAATCTTTACGTAATTTGTAACAGTTGTCCACATTATAAAAGCCTGACGATAACCAAAAACCGAAAGTTTGACAGAATTTTGCAACTTATGAGTATTTATCTAAAGATATATAGGAAATATATTCATAAGAAAGACCAAAATTATGTTTGAACTAAGGTTTTATATTATCTATCTGGTACATAATAGTTTATTTTGATTTGTGATGTCCAATTGATAATGTTGTATCAAAATGATTTCAACATTTAGCGCCGAATTATATTTTGATTGTATTAAAACATGTTGAAATTTTTGGCCAAAGTATACGATAATCAAAAAGGCTCTTCAATATCTAAAATTGCACCTCAGTGGTAAAATGAATCGGTATCTTGAAACCATCGCTGATGACATGCATCAATAAATATGTATTATTTCGTGAAACAAACCATTTCAAGCATTAATTTGACAAAAAATGATTAAGGAAAGGGACACTACTTCATTTCTGTTCACAGCGTTTACTTGAAATTATTGTATTCATAAATATCAAACATTTTCCTTCTGATATTATATAATATGCAAGTTGTGTATTGATCTCCATGTATTGAACATATCACACGCTAATAAATAGAATTCAAGAGAGTGCAATTGTGACAAGATAGGAAATTGTCTCCATGGTCAACATTATAAATAGTAACCATGACAATATCTGTCGTGATAAAATATCACTCTTGAAAAGTAGATTAGATATTAAAAACATAAAGGCTTATTATGATAAAAAAACATGGACGCACACATGAAATATTGTAGAAACAACTATTGTTTATATGAACCAGAAGTTTTCACAAAATAAGTGCATTCAATTTTTATGTACTATCACATATTTGTAACGCAAACATTATGTTTTGCATATGGAATACACTTAGATTTGTTCTAGTCATAATTCTGTCCGGGGGAAAATCACCGATTAGTTCTGCCCAGGCAAACAACCGATAAGTGTGTTCTGTTATGAATGACGTCAGTGGCGTTTCTAACAATGACGGACGAGGGAGCTGGAGTCGGTTTCACAAAAAAAACTTACGATTAAGATTGATCGTAAGTCATGAACAATTCAGTATACTTACGATAAATCTTAGTCGTAAGTTTTTTTGTGAAACCGACTCCTGATCTTAGTCGTAAGTTTTTTTTTGTGAAACCGACTCCTGCTGATTTTGTAAACGTCGATTAAAATTTCTGCGGAGGAAAAAATGTTTGCCCTGCCAGACCAAATAATATGTTTTTTCTTCACTTTTTTAAGCATTTGTATAATAGGTGATCAATAAATTAGACCATCTCCTTTTCCGTATGGCCCATGACGTCATCCCTTGACCCATCAGAGCCATGGGCTAGCGACCAGGGCTGATATGGGAGTCTCGGAATGATACCAGGGTCGGTATTGAAAAGGACATTGTTATAATCTGTTAACCGTATTAGTTAAACGTTTCCAGTTATGTGAATACTACAACCCATGGTAATGAGTGATACCTGATCGATTGATGATGTAATATAACTGTAATGCTTCTCTACCATTTAAAACCTTTGACTGCATGGTATGCGTCATTAAATCTGGATTTTTCACCACATCTAAATTACTGTACTGGTTTTGTTCTCTGGAAACCAAAAGCAACCCTGTTGCAATAGTTTCATAAAGAATCTAAGGAATCTGGTGTAGGAATGTTTGATCCATACCTAACACACTTTACAAAGAAAAAAATATATTTTGGTGTAAAAAATCGTCAGTAGGCGCAAAAACTCCTATAAGGATTCATTTAACAAATTGTGTTTGTCCTGCCAGATTTTCTGTATCTTCTGATTTTCATAGGGATACTTGGG